GAAACAGTAATAGCCTATAAATGTCATAAAACCATGCACACAAACATACACTTTAAAAGCACTGTCACCTGATAGGGTTTTAGATACAGAAGCTTTCATAGTTCAGGTCAATGAAGAAGTGGTTTTTAAAAGAGAAGAAAAGTTTAGTGAAAGTAAAATATTCAAATATTCACCAGAAAAAATGACACAACAAAACAATAAGATTCTATTATAAAATCACTGTCACTTAAGAAATTACTATGAGAGAGATAGAACAATGTCAGGGTCAGAAAAATGAAGACATTAAAAAAAAAATCAAACACAAAGCTCTACCAGAAAACAAAGTGAACATTTTTCTTCATTATGAAAGATGTGACCATTTTCTTTGTCCTCAATGCCATGCAATTGACAGTAACACATTGGCCCTATTTGAAACACAAAATTTCTAGGATAATTCCATGCAGAAATGCAATATCCAGGCATTCTCCTTTTTAAACTGAGATTAATGTCAAAGTGAAAAGCATTTGCGATTCTGTGTGGATTACTTCCCAATTCTGGACCTCTTCCCTTTCCCACTGACCTCCCTCAGGGAACAAAAATGCAATCGATGAGCCTCCCTGCATTCCAGTACAAATGCTAAAAATACCTCTAACCATTCCTTCCCAGTCACTCCACTGAAGATTGGCATTGTCACACGGCCCTCCCTCCACCTTCCAATAATCCACTAAGGGATTTTCTTCTTTCAACATGACAAAGACAAACTGGAACCTCACCTGACCAACATTATCCTCTTTTATTGGTTTTGGCTCCTAGATGCACATAAAAACCAGAGAGAGGAACAGAATAGCACAAGAAGATGTTAATAGCTGGTGCAATAGTTAAAGAAAAAAAATCCCAAACAAACAACTTCACAAAGTGATTTGGTCTCTCTGTTATGAAAAGAAATAAACTGCACAAATTGCAGTTATGAAAAGAAACAAAATGCAAATTTGAACTCGCAAAAAGATTCACAAACATGATTCCCCATTTCTTTTTGTATTACCTATGTTAATGCTATTCCCTGAAGTCTGTAGGAATTCACTACCAAAAAAGGGCAGCGTTGCTGCTTTTGTTAAGTACCTAAAATAGAGAAAATGCTTCCAAGAAAGCTCAGTATCGAAGCAAAAGTAATGAGTTTGACTAAATTATCCAAATTCTATGACATCAATACATGTGGAACATAGACCAGGACATAATTTAAAGCTAAGGTATCACAAACAGCCCTCACTCATTCATTCTAAATATTAACTAGCTGAAAGAAATCAAAATCCATTGGAATCATCATTCATTGAAGTTCAGACACACCCCAAACTCCTTTGTGTAAAAGTGCATAAACTTTTCAGAGTGATTCCCAACAGATCTGCAGGGAATTCCCTCCAACTCAGACCCTGCTCTCCACGAGCAAAGCCATGATCAGGGTTTCCACAAGCCCCTGAGCCATGTGTGTTTCTGCTCCAGGGATACCTATGCCTACCACAACTGCTCCAAGAACTGCAACCATCTGTCACACTGACTGCTGAGAAAAATATACTTAGCAACATTTCTGGACATGACTTGTTTCATTTACATACACACAGATAGCTAAAAGTTAAGGCTGCACTTAGGTTCCCAAGCCCCAAGGTCAAAGCAATTTTATAGCTCTCAAAGTGTTTATTCTTGTCAAGCTCTGTATAACCTTATGTCGCTCTGGACACATCTTGGGCTTCTAACAAAATAACTCCTCCTGTTTTGGTAGTGCTGTCCTTGATATGCTGCTACTCAGCAGCGATATCAAGGACTGATTTGTTTTATGTGAGGATAGCCTCTGCCCATATACTATGGGAATTTGAAATAAAAACAATTAAAATCAGAAAAATAGAGTAAAACAGAAAAGAACTAATAAACTTCATGTGCTCCAAACTTGAATCAAAGTAAGTGGTCATGCACAACTGGATCTGGATTTAACCAGTACAAAATACACTAGGAATTCAAAAATATACTTGTTCATTTGCAGCTTTCTAGTTCTAGGCCTCTGTCTATTATAAATGGCATCGAGACATTTCTGTATCGTTTTAAAAGCTAAACACAAAAAGGCTGCATAACTACTATCCTAGGTACTGCATTAAAATAACTAGAACCACTTTGCTCCTCTGTCTTTGCTACTGGCTAGTTAGGCACAAATATTTACCTGTATATATAGTTCTGTATTTACTGGAGAGGGGGCAGGGGGGTAAATAACCTGAAGATCTACAAAATTACAGTGCTTATATTTTTGTTCTGAAGAGTCACCTAAAAGTTACTAAAGTCTACGTTCTTCTGTTGAATCCATTTAAGAAATTAGCTTTTCTTTTCTTGAGTAATAGTACAGTCTGCGTATAAGACAAATTATTAGCAATTATCAAATATACTGTGTGATTTCATAGCAGAATATGCTACTACATATTTCACTTACAAGAAACTGTATCACTACAAGAACCCAATATATTGCTCTCTTTAATTAATACTACACAGTTCATCCTGACCACACTCTTTGTAAGTGCAATTTGTATGGACTCTAAGTACCTTTCATCTATTTAATATTAATCTTTGTATTAAAAGCTCCTGAGTTCACTGGCCAGAGCAAATAGAAAACAGAAATTGTGCTCTGTCAAAATTCTTTCAATCAAGTTACCCAGGGGAAACAATGTAAAAAGGTACAGAAGCTTCTTCCTTACAACTAAAAATAGGTAGCTGAACAAAACAGGTTAAAAATAAAGTACTCAACAACTAAAAAAACTCCACAAACTAAAGCAGACTATAAAGCAGTGGGAAAGGTTGCAAGGAAGACTGTTTAAAGAACATAAGATTTTAGGGACTAAAAGAAAATCTTGCTTTTCCTTCAGGTGCTGGAAGAGAATTTCCTAAAACCACTTTTTTTTGGTGCTTTAGTTTAGTTTTCAAGCATGAAGCAAGCTGTAGGCTATTCAAGCATTTAGTTCATCTCCTAGAAGATTTTCTTAGTAACAGCCCATCCTGTTGACATAACACCAGAGATATGAGATCAATAAAGTGTTCCCAGATAATGACACAACTTCAATATTGCTGAGTTGAAAGTAATGGTTCTTAAGGCCGATACGTCTCATGCCAGCTGCTGTAAAAAAGCCAAATTAATACCCTTTTGTATTTGTTCTCCTTCCTCACTCCAGGGTTTTGTAAAATTTTTGTTGCAGACTCTGGAGCTGTGGAGTGTCTGAGTCTGCTAAATACATTTCCCCAAGCCCAAGAGACTCCTTGAACAGTACCTGCTGTGGGCAAGACTAACACAAAGAGCTACATGTGACTATACCCTAGGAGGTCAAGAAATTCTGTAAATACTTTTCCAGAGCAGACAACTGAACCGCACAACTAAGTCACATTTCTAAACTATGAATCCATCAGATAGCTCAGCAATTCTGAATCCCAAAGGGATCAAAGTTTTACGAGCTACATTACATCCCTAGGAATTCACAATCCAAAACAGCCTGTATAGGATGCATTTGCCTCTGCATTATTTCAACACATATTCCTTGAACAGGTACGAAAATCACCAATAACTTGAAGCATTGTGCTTTAAACAGGAACTAATGTATAGTTACTGAAATTACAGAGAATAAGAAAAGCCTATTTTCTTATTCTACGTACGAATATATTTCTATGTAAAATGTATTTCTTAGCAGGAATCCTAAGTGTCGGGGCAGGGTTATCAAGGCAAAAAACATGTCTGTCATTACACAGATTTTGTAACATAGATGCAGCATCTTAAGACCCAAAGAAGGGCCTCCAGGCCCAAGAGCATGTTTGTGTTTTGCTCTGCTAATGCAGGCAGCCCAATAAAAAATACTTTCTCTCTACTTAACCACCTAAAAAGAGAATAAAGCATCACAGCTTTGTACTGCACTTTGCATAAAATCAATGGCACCAATGAGCCTCTTCCAGTTCCGACGCTGCATTGGAGCCCACATTCACCTGTGTGCTCCCCACACAGCCAATGGCCTCAGGAGGCTCCTGTAAACCTGCAGCCCCCAAGAAATGCACTGAATGCCAAATCCCTTCTACCTTTGTGCTAGGCTTTGCTCTCCAAGCCACTGGTGGAACCCAGCAACAAGTGCAGGAACAAGAGATGTGAAGGGAAAAGCATAAGGGAAGACATGGTGCATGATATGGAGGAGCTGAAAGAGCCTGCAATTACTTGATCTACTTTTTCATTTCATATCAAAGCTTTGAAAGAAATATCCTCCACTGGCACCATGTTCAATTCATGGCAGTGTGAAAAGCCGAGTCAACAAACCTGCACAGTTTTTATTCAAACAAGAATTATACTGCTCTGAAAAGGAGTTGATCACTTTGAATAAAACGACTGAACTCACAGCTTAAATTAATATATAAAAAAAGAGACAGGGATTCATGTGGAGTCAGACTTGAAGCTCAAAATATTTCAGCCATACCACTTCCCTGAAGTTCTACAAAAAGAATCTTGCTTTGACTGAATTCAAAGGAAATAGATAAACAGAAGTAGTACATAGTGTCATTTTTTTCTGCAGTCTAATGACTAAATACAGACATTTAAAATATGTTCTGCTTTCAAGCATGTTTACAGCCATGAAACTGAGCACCTTCCAAGGTCCTAAGTCTTCACAGGATTACAACTCCCTTTTGCTATTGCATTAATACTGAAGTGGCTGTCATGCCTCCAGAAATAGCCCAACTAGACAGGCATACTTGTGGGTGGGGGTGGGCTGATAAAAAAATCTCACTGCAGAACCCATCACAAACAAAACAAACCTCCAATCCCAAACTTCTTCTTAAAATACACTCTTGTACAGACCTTTCATGAACTAAAGAACATTGTCTCATTTTATCACAAAGATTACTTGGCTATATATGGTTTATATAGAGTAGGGGAAGGCATACAAATTAAATTCTATCCGTCCTTGTCCATGGTAAACTCTGCCATGCAAAAAATTGTCTTTTACACAAAAAATTACCTTGGTCCCACATACAAAATGAAACCATCTCACAAACAGACATGAAGCACTTGCAAGCTCTCCTTACAAGCCATTTATAGTTGAGAGGTCCAGTCATCAACTTCCCAATACAGCACCCAACAAAAAGGGATCAAATTATCCTTGCTATTTGGTTAGGAATTTTATTTGTATCTGCAAGAAAAAAAAGGCAGAATAATGGAATCTGTAAACAATAGGAGAGTTTGAAAAAAATATTTCTCTCTGCTGCCAAGAAAAATTAAAACCTCAGAGTAATGGAGATATGAATCTCTTTCCACCCATGGTCCACAGTAAAATACACATGAATCTGAAGAATGTTATCTTTAGAACTTTCCCCTGCTTCTGCCCCTTGCCTTCCACATGCATTTATCAGTTGTCAGTACATTTCAGACTGTAAATAAGCCATCAAAACCTCCATATTTCTCTTTGCAGCATTCAGAAATTAATCTATACATTAGGCTATGAAACTCTAAAAGACTTTACAGATGAAATCTAAGAGATCATCAAACAACACTAGGAGAGATAATAAAGACAAATTAGAAAATTTTTGAAGGATGCTAATAATCTAAGAAATAATTAGAGTGAATTTTCTTCCACTGACTAATGTCCAAACTCCCACAGATTTCAGAGACAAGGCTGAGCACACTGTGGAGAAAAATCCTTGAAGTCACATGAGTTATTAACACATTAAATATCAGCTCCCGTTTATGCAAGGCAATAAAATGCAACTTGTCAATTCTGCATGTTTCAGTTCTCCAGGTATCACATGCAAAACTTAAGCAGACCACCTCCAAAAAAGCAAACAGTTCTAAGTAATGTAAAATACTAATAAAAGTTTTGACAGTATTTGTACCTTAGTAAATGTTTACTTTTGGAATATGATTTAGACCCCAGGGAGAATTTCAGAAGCCCAAGCTTCAGCAATATCTACATGAAGTAAATGTGACCAAGAGCCTGATTCAGCCAAACATTTCAATATATCATTAAAATCAGACTTCTGCTGAAGTCCTTTCCTTTTTCAACAAAAGTACACAGGGCTATGTTTTAAGTGCTTTGTTGAACTGAGGCCCAAGTTCTAATTTCCTTTATTTATCTTAGATACAAAATGGCCAAAGGAAGGGGTCAAATGCTGCAATAGATAGGTTATGGGTTTAAGGACACTGGAGCTGCTGCTATGAAACGCCATGGGAAGAAAAAGAGAAGTTTAATGATGGAAGTAATGGGAGGAATTCAGATAGTTTAAGATAAAGTCTAAACAACTGCCTCAGAGTCTTCTAGCTTATTTGTCCTGTCTTCTCCTTGCCTCATATAATCTTCCATCTTCCCAGCTTCTATTTTTCTAAAGTAAAATCCTGAAAGATTTTGTAAGCACAAAGAACAATACAAAACGATAAGCAGCAACTAGAAAAAGTCACTGCAAGCAGCTGCAGAGAGCAGCCCTGCATTGACAGGAGATGCACCAACGATTTAATTAGATTTTCTTTTGGTCTCCAATTTCTACAAATCAACAATCTACAAATCAACTTTTGCTGTCACAATACTCGCAAATGCACCAGTTCTGTGCAATACAATGTGTAGTAACTAAGGAAACAGAATTCATTTTCAAGGAGCAATAGTGAATAAGACAGGCATAGCTGCCTGCCCAAAGGCTTTCTTTTTTTTCCCCTCTTCAGTGTAGCTCACCAGTGCCAGGATTCCACCTACAGATACTGAAACAAACTGTAAAAATGCAGTAAAGGAAAGCTCCTTTGCAACTCAATTCATTGCCTCAGATAAAAATGAGCTTTTCATGTTATAGTACTCCAGAACTTGGAATTTTTAATAAAATATCCAAGCCCTTAATAGGGCTTGGGTAGCACTGTACAATGTCCTTTAAGTCATAACAATATAAAAGAAGGAAGTCAGGTCATTATACACTCAGCTGATGCTCTTTGATAAAGCTGGTTTGCAGAAGGTCACAGATGTGCACTTTTGTATTGCAGAGAGGAATTAACTAAGAAACGAGGAGTTTGTATTTTGGCCATCCCCAGATGTAAACACAGACTTATAAACAGAAGGACTTGCATTCTCTATTCCCTGTTCCCAGACTACCAATAAACTTATCACCAGCACTATCTGAGCTGTGTTCCTTGGAACTCCAGAATAGAACTAGATTGTGAGGATGAATTTTTGATTACCAGCTTTTGAGAAGTCCTCTTCTTCAAAGCTGCTTTTGGCCAAAAACAACTGTTTCATGTGATAGAACAAAAACGCAGGCAATTTTCACATAGACTACAGAAACAGGGGGTGTGCAGGTGAAGGGAAAGTTGCAAAAAAACAAAGCCATTGCAAAGGGAAGGAAAAAACAAAACAAATAAACCAAGGACAGAAACAGTAGTTTTGACCTCTAAGGATTTATGTATTTATGCTCACATATGTATGCAAACACATGTAAAAAAGGGTGCATTCACATTTAACTCCTACCTACCTTGCACTGAGTAACTTCCTGGACTCCTCCTGCAAATCAGAACTGGATAGAGCAGTACCTCCGTGGCCTTCAGCACCTTGCACCTTCAGCTGTCCTGCCATTTTAAAGAGTCCTAGCAGAAAGGCTGAGTTTGTTGCTGAAGATACTTCCCATACCAAGGTCACCTAGATGAGCTTGGATTTCAATTGATCCATATGGCATAATAATTTTGATAACAACTGTTAGCCTCCAAAAACATTAGCCAAGGAACCAAATAGGCCAATAACAGCTAAAGGACAGGTTATTTTGCTTCTGTTTGGGTTTGATTATTAACTCTTCCTAGAACAGCAAATGATATTATCCTGGTCTGTCCATTGGTATATTCAAATAAGATGTTTTCTATCTCCAAAACCATTTGGGAAGGGTTAGCATTAAATAATTTTAAAGTTTTCTGACAAGGTACCCAAATCTGAACTTTCTCAGAAACTTACACAGATGACACAGCAAGATCACCCATGCAAATAAGCAGCAGAGTTCTGAGGAAGCTTTTACTTAGTACCCATGCATGGGGTTGCCTGGAATTTTTCAACTGAAGAATAAGTACCTTTTTCAGGCTACACTCAGGGTAAATCTATGCAAGATAGCTAGAAGATGTCTGTCCTGTCAATGAAATGCAAACATTTTAATTTTAGTCTTCACACCTACAGACAATACCCCCAAATAACTAACTTGCCTTATTGTTGGCATCATGTTCAATATGACAAAACACACTAAAGGCGGGCAGAGAATGGCTTAAGCTGCAGAGATGAAGACTAAAATTCAAATGCTGCAAATAAATTAATTGTGGATGCACCTACTAGTTCAATAGTGTAGCATGCCTTTCAGTGGTCTAATTTACCCACCAACATAAAAGGAGTTTGTTTCACTAACTCCTGTTATCCCTTAGTGGATTTTCAGTAACAAATTTTGTACCTATTTCCAGTATTTCTTCCATCTGTCATCAGTGTTTATTCAGGGTGTATACTAAAGCATGGAGAATACAAGCGATACATTTTAAGTTCTTCAATCTAAATCCTATTTTTTGGCTTTCTGCCTCTTTCCTAAATATTAAAACAAACAACTCATTTCTTCAAGACCTTCTTACTAAAAATAGTTGGTTGGACTGCTTAATTGTGTTAGCTGAAACACAAACATATGAAAAAGGAAAGGGGTTTGTAGAAAAAACATTGAAGAGAAAAAAAAATCAGATTTCATCTGGCCTTCCCATCATCACTTAAGAGAATTGTTTTGTAGTTACATCATCAGGAAATAAAATACTATCCTCCAAGGACCCCGACTCTTTACAGAAGGAAAAAAAAAAAAAAAAAGGAAGGCTCAAAGTTCATATTCGCCCCCAGAGGAGCTCAGCTAAAGTTGCATTTTTTTGTCATAATAAAATTAAAAGAAAAAAAAACACAACAGAAAAAGCTCCCTTAGAACAACTAATTAAACAAGATGACTTGGAATTTAGATTTTCCGTTTTCAAACTCTAGGCCGCGGGACTAAGTGGAAAACATTGTACCTAATCAGCAACAACTTAAAACGACTTTATTATCAGCGCTGGAGAGGAACTGCCCTAACCCAAACCTTCCGCACATTCTTCTTGGCCCTGAGCTGGAGGACAAACGCAGTGTTCCACAGAGCGCGGGGCTCGGCCGCAGCCAGCACCCGGGGCTGAGCTGCCCAGGGCCGGGGCTCCCAAGAGGCGGCCGGGCTGCGTCACCCAGAGGTAGCCGAGCTCAGTTGCCCAGAGGTAGCCCAGCTGTGGCAGGGCCGAGTTGCCCAGCAGCAGCCGAGCCCAGCTGCACAGGGGTGGCAGAGCCCGGCTGCCCAGGGCCGAGCTGCCCAGAGGCGGCCGGGCTGCATCACCCAGAGGTAGCCGAGCCCAGCTGCCCAGAGGTGGCCTGGCTGCCCAGAGGTGGCCAAGCCCAGCTGCCCAGTGGTAGCCGAGCTCAGGTGCCCAGAGGTAAGGGGTGGCAGAACCCAGTTGCCCAGAGGTAGCCGAGCTCCCCAGAGGTAGCGGAGCTGCCCACAGGTGGAAGGGCCGAGTTGCCCAGAGGCAGCCCAGCTGCCCAGAGGTAGCCCAGCTCAGTTGCCCAGAGGTAGCTGAGCTCAGCTGCCCAGAGGTGGCAGGGCCGTGCTGCCCAGGGGTGGTCGAGCAGCCCAGAGGTAGCCAATTGCCCAGAGGCAGCCGAGCCCAGCTGCCCAGAGGTAGCCAAGCTCAGTTGCCCAGAGGGAGCCGAGCAGCCCAGAGGCAGCCGAGTTGCCCAGCTGCCCAGGGGTGGCCGATGCGCCCCGGCGGCGGCCGCCCCGGAGTGAGCTCAGTTGCCCAGAGGTGGCAGGGCAGAGCTGCCCGGGGCGGCCGAGCCCAGCTGCCCAGGGGTGGCCGAGCAGCCCAGAGGCAGCCGAGTTGCCCAGCTGCCCAGGGGTGGCCGATGCGCCCCGGCGGCGGCCGCACCGGAGCGCACCGGGCAGCGCGGCGGGGCTGCACCGCGCCTTATATGGCGAGGCGCTGACGTAATGGTGCATAGGCTCGGGCCGCCCGCGCGCCCATCCCTCATTGTTCCGCGGGAGCGCTGGAATGCTCGCAGCAGCCCCGATGGCACCGCGCAGCGCCCGCGCCCCGCAGCACCGGCTCACCCGGGATTGCTCTAGCCCGCCAGCGCAAGGTAAGGCACAGGGTGGGAAGCAAGCTTCTTCTGGCAAGCACTGGCGCTTCTGGCTTTTCCTGCTGAGATACCTTTTTTTTTTAAAAAGTCACTTCCAAAGAAAAAAAAAAGAGGGGTGAGGAACTGAGAAACAATGAAATACCCCAAAACAGCACCAGGAGATCTAGAAAATGTCTGGTGAATCATACATAGGGTGGCTATTTCAAGCGTTAGAAACTGTCTTTAAAACAATTCCTGCAGAGGCAACAGGCGAGGAATTAATTTAACATTAAAGAAGGAGAGAGTTATGAATTACACACACTTTCCAAATGGTCGGATAAAATCATGACTGCATTTAAAGCTGTGGAAGGAGTCCAACAGTATTGTAATATATTAGGTAGAGCTACTGCCTCTCTTTCTGCTGCATTTACATGCATATGCTATATATTAGTAGGCATGTACACACACATGTCTCTAAGCATTTACTCTACTTTTGAACAACTTCTACTGTAGTTTTCAGAGCGTGTATAAATTTCCACATGCATTACTTTGCAATAAGGCTATGCTATGCCTAAAAGAAAGAATTGCAACTAGTTTAATCGCTAACAAACTTTTCAACTCATACACACTGCTTCCCTCTTCTCTGTCTTGCGTGCAAGTGTCAAATCACAAGAGGGCAGAACTGTCAGATTTTTTGTGAAAGAAAACTAATCCTCGTCAAACCCATGATGAGTGTGAGGATCAGAAAGCACGCTGCTCTCTGCAAGGCTTATTCTGCAAGATGTTCAACAGTATTGCAGCTATGAACTCCAGAAAACTGGGAATGATAAACAGCTCAGACGAGGCACAAAGCACCTTGAAAGATTAGACTTCGGTGTGTTTATAATTCACACCTGCGTGGTATGCAAAATTACAGTCCTCTCCGTTAATTAAGGGCCAAACCCTGTCAAATCTCTGTTCATAGGAACAACTGCAATTAAGTCAATTGTACTGTCCTACTTGCAAATTAGAACTGCTGAGCACTGCTCTTCAGAGTCCTATGCGTAATTTAAAATGTTAGAAAAGTTAGACCTTGAATTTTGACCTCTTCTTACAGGTAAAACATATTTTTGTGGTATGTTCTTCTTTTCCTTAGTACAAAAATAAATGCAATTTTAGGAGAGAAGTAAGGGTTCTTTTCCCAATTATTTGATGTTTTAAATCCTGCAAAATCCTCGTTCAATTATATATTTATATATAATTGGTATATATATGGTACTAACAGATGCATTGTTGTAGTATCACACATACACGGATTTAGAGGATGAGCCAAAATATCTTCTGTGAAATTTTTCGTAACTTTTTTTTGGCTTTAAACATGGAGAAAATATGAAGCAGTTATTTTCAACATGCTCCTAAAAATGTAAATATAAAGAGCCATTAAATTTCAAATATAATTCAGGTATTTGTGTATTATTAAGCTGGCAAATAGATAAAAGTCACATCCATGTTTCCAACCTATTCTTTTTTATAACAAGCAAAGTTTATACCTCTGTTGAGAGAATCAGGGAAGAGGGCACTGTATAGTGTATATATAGAATGAAAAGAATCCTAGCAACAAGAACAAATGTAATTTCACAGTACAAAAACAATATCCCATATCAGTATCCTGAGCTCCTTAAAAAGTCTTTTGCTCACTATTCTGTCATATGTGCAGAGTCCTTGCAGTTTAAAAATGATTACTTAGTTTTCTAAATATCCAGTGTCGAGTTATAGAGTAGAAAACTTAGCTATGTTGTGAACAGATGTGTTAGGAACCAAACTTAAGCAGCAGTCTTCAAAAAGTGTGTCTGAGTAGAAAGGATGAGCTGAAGAAGTCGAAAGACTACAATATGGGAAATAAAAAATATTAACAGGAGTGCTATGCATGCAATAATTTTGATAAAAACACAAAGTAGAAAAAAGAAAAATGTCTCCCCATAGGTTAGAGACAATTTAAATCCAAATCCAGCAAAGAAGGGTGACTTCTATCACTGATTACTGCTTTAGCAGTATCTAAAGTACCATCTGTACTCTGAATACTGCTCTCCTAAAACAAATCATAACATCTATCAAAAGCCAGAATTCTACTTCTCATAGTCTGTCTTCCTCAGATTAAAAAGAAAACATTCTTCACTTAATACTTACAGAGCCAATTTTGCTCTCATTTATACTGGTAAAACTCCAAAATAATTAGATGGAGGTATAATGATTAAACTGCCTCACTGCTGTTTCCCCCCTGCCACCACCTCTCTATTACACTCCTTTATTAGATCAGATTGCTTAACATGTTTTGGATATTAATGGATCAGTATTCCTAATTTTAAGTGATTAAGATGCTAGTTTCCATTAAAAGTAAAATGACAGTGAAAGAAAAGAATCATCACATAACTCAGTCTTAAATAATTGTATTTCTTCATCTAAATTTTTATAGTAATTTTTCACAACATCCAATGTGAAAACATTTTAAGAACAAATATATCCTCCAGAAATGAAAGTCAAGTTCCTATCAAACTGCATTGACCCTTTGTTCCTTTCCCGTCACTTCCCTTTCCTCCACTGACAAACATCTGCTGACAGCAGAATTTTTAGAGATTTGATCCAGAGGACAAAGGATAGTTTCTATTCCCCATCACTAGTAAAATCAA